TGTCCCATCATAAACTCCCTATATAATATAATAAATCATTTACAAATGACTTAAAATATTTAATATTTAAACCTATATAATACAATACATTGACTCTCAAAATTCTATCAGGCTCAAATATATTGGGACAAAAAAAATAACACATATCATTTTAAAATTACCAAAACAGTATTATAAATAATAATTAACAACTTAAAATATCTGAAAGACATTTTAAAAGGGTTAATTTTGTAATTTTATCCATATCACATAAATTAGGACAAAGTGACCAGTAATGTACGTTATTTGAAAGTTACATAAAAATATTATAAATCACAATAATTAATAACTTAAAACATCTTTTAAAAAAATATGAAATTTAGATGACTCTCCAAATTTCATTTGTGTCACATAAATTGAGACAACAAAAATAACATATATTGGGTCCATTTTAATTTATTTGTCTTATTTTTTTATATTTAAAAATTGCGTAAAAATACTATAAATCATGATAATTGACAACATAAAATATGTTTTCAAAAAAATACAAAAAATTCCACTGATTCTTGAAGTGAATCTATCGTAAAAATACTATAAATCATGATAATTGACAACATAAAATATGTTTTCAAAAAAATACAAAAAATTCCACTGATTCTTGAAGTGAATCTATCGTAAAAATACTATAAATCATGATAATTGACAACATAAAATATGTTTTCAAAAAAATACAAAAAATTCCACTGATTCTTGAAGTGAATCTATCGTAAAAATACTATAAATCATGATAATTGACAACATAAAATATGTTTTGAAAAAAAATACAAAAAATTCCATTGATTCTTGAAGTGAATCCATGGACCACATTATCTAGTATATATATAGATATGAATAGGCAAAATCCAAAAAATGTTTTGTTTCTCATTTTACATTCTTACCTTAAAACCCCAACAGTTAATAGCTAAAATTATTAAGCATGATTTATATAGAAATGAATTAGTTAATGACGTAGTGAGTTGATAATGAAGCGCATGATCGAGTGTACATATCTGAATAAAATGGTCTCGGCAGTTCAGTCACCAATGGTCATTTCAGTTTTAGATAGTTACAATCTTTGCTTATGGACAAACTGGAACGGGCAAAAGCCTCAACATTAATAAGGTCAAGGATCTCGAGGGCAAGCTAAAAGTAAGAGTTTGTGTCTCCGTCTGACATCCTTCAACATAAGGTTGAGGAAACGCTGAAAGCAAAAGAACAGAATGCACAGGACTCCGTCAGGAACTTGAAGACAAGAACAACAGTTGGCACGCATGGTTGCAGATTCTGATGCCACCAAGTCTTTAGGATCAAGCTAATCCCACTTGAAAGCACTTGTAGCAGAGACGATTTAACAAGTGACATCGAGCAACGTATATATTTTAAAGAGAGACCGTTCAGGCAGTTAAAGAGAGGGACACCAAGAAAAGGATGTGGACAAGATAGAGTGAAACATAAATGCTGGCCTCGACATCACGGTTATAAACAAAACAAAACAAAAAAAGTGAGCAGAAACCAAAGAAGCCAACTTGCATTCTTGTTGTCTTCACAACTACAGTTAACTTGACAATTAGTGTATGCTTTGATTGGTTTGTGTTGCATTTTCTTTTATTTTATTTTTGCAATTGTTTAGTGCGCTATGTATATGCCCAGCTTGGTAGATTACTGTATCTGTATGTGTTATTAATCTACTTACATATTGTATCTCATTTTTAAGATTGATATAAAAATTATTTAGTACTTAGTAGTTAATAAAACATTATATGCAAATAGCAAACATTATCTCGTATTCGTATATGCACTTAAACTTTTCATGGTCATGAAAAGCAAGCATCTCATTTATTTGTAAAGCAGCCCATTCGAATCCCCCGTGCTCCAGTAGCTCTCCTGTCTTGACCGTTATGGTAGCAGGGTAAATTGCATTTCCAAAGAACTCTTCAGGTAAAGGAGGATTCAATCTTTTCCTCATGTCAATTGGTACCTCAGAAGTAGTCTCTTCGTTGTGATCCAGATTACGACAACGTATAACGGATTGCCAAATATGAGCCAACACAGCTTGAAGAGAAGATATCTTGGTGGTGTTCATTTCAACATTAGCCTTTGATTTAAGCTTGGCTATACTTTGTTTGGTAAAATGAAATACCTTTCCTCGCAATACTGGTGGATCATGTGTGCTATTGCTATTGCTATTGCTATTGATTCTTTCATTTGGTATAGAAATGCAATTAGAGAAATTGTCAATTTTGAAAGGAAATTGACGTTTGAAAAAGGGGTTTTTTTGAGATGACATTAAAACCGCAAGATATCTCAGCCCAAGAGCCATAAAAATGCCAAAAAGATAATCCGTCAAGTAATGCATGATTAGCCGCGCATCCAATGAAAATGCTGCCATCAACAAGCCCTGTTACTTGCACAGCTAAAAATGGTTTGGGGGTAGCATCTTGGTTTCGAACTCCATTTAATGGAAAATATTCTTGTAGAGGAACGCACTTTGATTGATCCAACATGTGGTCAACAGTAACACCATCAGCTATAGCATGATTGAATTGAACACCAGCATTGTTACAGTTAATGAACAAACAAGTGGTTCTACTCTGCTCTTCTGCCTCAAGGCGGCAGCAGAATGGAGGGAAGAAATCTAAAACTCTAAGACATGAATCAAGGAACTAGTGTTGGTTATATCTCTTACTTGTTGAGATATAGGCATGTAACAGAGGACTCCACCTTGACCATACTCAATTTGAAGCTCAAGAATGTCCCATGGTGTCAACTCAATTATCTTCAATCACACTTTCTGTTGGGTTTAGCAAGGTGTGAATGGGAAATAAAAAGAGAAAATGAAAAGTGGAAGAACCAATGAAAATGGGGGAACCAATTTTGGAGGGAAAATGAAAAGTCATTGCAAAAGTGCAAATGAATAGTCATTTTTACCATATTGGTAGAAGAGAGGAAATTGTTGTCCTTATATTAGGAAACACTTCCTTTAGTTCTTAAAGGGTTAAGAAGAAGGTGCCCCCTCGCGCCGTCGTCGCTCGCTCGGCCTCGGATTTGGCAAATGATGTAATTGATTGATAATATTTTTGGACAAAATTTATTTAATCAATCTTGTTAAATCATTTCCTTTCTCTTATAAATTAATTCAGAATGCTAGTTAACTAACAAAATTAATTTGGCGCAACTGAATTTATTTGAAATTCACGTGCAACGGTAATCCTTCCGAAAAGTCGTTACCTTCCGAAAACACTGAAAAAAATTTCCTCTCTGCATACATTTTCTTGCATAAATAAAATTGTCGATCGACTAAGTCTGTGTGTGCTCTTGTTGCTGTTCTTGCGTTCGCTGAAGTTATTGAAGTTTGAGGTACCGCTACTTCTTTAACAGGTTAATCCGTTTTATCTTGGGAGGAATTAATCTGCAACCTCGGGTACAGTGAGGGGATTAAATTTCTTAAGGAAACACAGTGGTTTCTGTGGACTCGGATTAAAATTCATTCTGTCTATTTCTTCATCTTTTTTTTCTGTTTCTGTATTTTTGACTAACCTGAATACAGGAGATAACACTCTCTCCAGCAGCTTTAACCGTCCATGTTGACATGATCGATACCTTCGAGGCCATCGCTTCAGACCTACAAGTTAAACAGGAATTAAGATTACACGAATTGCAGTAAGATTGCTCTGTTTTCTTTTAAACAATCGTGCAAGCTTTGATGATTGACAAAGTAATATGAAATATGTAAATCAAGCGGGTATATATGTTCTAATTTTGGACAGCAGGGGCATCAATGTCCCAAAAGTATGACGGAGGGTATTTACATACCATTTACGATAGTTCGGGGGTATATTTGTCCTTTTTCCCTAAAATTAATTGATTTGAACTTTTAGCTCTTCACATCAAACCGATAAATTTTAAAAATTATAGGTCCAAAATAAGTAATACTATTATTTTTAAACTTTTATATACACATACGATTTAATTATATAAAATTTTAAAGTGCTATTTATCACTACTATATATGATCTAGAGAAGGGAGCATGGATTCATGACGTGAACCCACAGAACCCCTCTAGATACACCCCTGATGGGTTCACCATGTGATAACAAGGGAGCCTCGTCCTTGTTGTTCCAAGAAGGTAAATACGATATACAAGTGTCACTTGCACTGGAGCTTAATTTAAATGTTGTCCTTTCTCAACTAATTTGGCTCAACACTAGTGCTTATAAAAGGCCGATCAAATAAGATATGAGTGGATTGAAAATGAGTTAGATTAAAACTTTAAAGCCAACAGTACTAGACGACAAACAACATAGAAATAAAATGGACATTGCTAAATTATATGACAAAAAAAAAAGTTTGTCTAGAAAAATCGATCATAAGAGAAATCATTGTTATGAGGCAATTAATTGTGTTGTAGACGCCACAAACTTTGGACTGAGAAAGTTATTCAAAACAAATCATGAATGAAATAGGAGGTGAATATATAATGGGAAGTGGATAACTATTTTATGTGGTGCGACGAGGCAAGCCCCTTAGTGAGAATCCTAAGCCATCGATGTACGGACGAAATTTCAGACATACATCTAAATTTAATTAGGGTTCTATTATTTCAAAATGTACTTTTTTTGTTTTTTTTGTGCACCTTTTATGTTGACGTAGCACCTTCAACCATCCAAGTTGGTTGTGTTTTACACACTCGCCTACCACGTGTGTAATTATTATTTTTTCTTTTAAAAATATTTTTTAGAAAATTATTCTTATTTTCTTTATCTTGTATTTAAATTAAGTTAATACACATTTTTTTACATTGTATTGAAACTTTTTTTTTTTTACCTTCATTCACATTTTTCTCTTTTGTTTTTCTATTGATTTTATTTTCTTTGTCTTTCGTTTTGATTTTATTTCAAATTTAATTCCAAATATCTTGTATTTAAAATAAGTTAATTTTGAACGAATATCAAAATAAGTAAAGAAACTAAATAAACATAAAAAAAATTGAAGGACACTTTTAAATTATATATTTTTTTAAAAAATACACATAATTTTTTAAATATAATTAAAAGTGAAAAGATAGTAAATTAGTTTAAAAAATGTTTAAAGTGAAAAGAAATTAAAATAAATAAATATATATATATATAAGTTTTAATATCAATAAATATGTGTACTAACTAATTATAAAGTTAACAATTAAAAAATAACATGTGTCCAATTTGTGCACTCGTCACTTGTCTTCAAAAGAGTGTGCACTCTCTATGCCATGTCAGCATTTGTGGTGTATTTATTCCATTTTAAATTAGTTTAGGGGTAATATGACCTTAGTTAAATTTAGGTGTGTATTTGGTATTTCGGTCATAGTGTAAGGGATACTTATGTGTTATTAGATGGAATAAGTATGAACAAATAGTACTTTTTCATCTTTCACATAAAACGTGTTCCTTTGTCTCTATTTATTTGTCCATTTTTTATTTGACACATCTATTAAGAAAATAATAATTGATTTAGTGAGTTTACCATTTTATCCATATTAATTTATAAAATTTCAAAATCAATTTACTCATTAAAAAGGTTCTACCTTTTTCAAAAATATTAATTCTCTAAATAAATTAAGGATATAATAGGTAAAGAATATCATTTGTTGAATTGAAAACCAACATTGTTACAATTAATGAAGAAACAAGTGGTTCCACTCTGCTCAGCCTCAAGGCGGCCGTAAAATGGAGGGAAGAAATCTAAAACTTGAGATAGTAAAACTCTAAATACCTTTCTACTTCTAAAGTAATATAAACTAATAAACTATAAATATATATATTTATATATCGATGAACTCTTTAACTAAATTAAAGTGCATTGTGTTTTATACATCCTTAATAGTATAGTTGTTCATTAATGTGAGACTAAAAAAAATTTGTAGTACGTAAGTTCATAATGATCATATTCCCAAAAAATTCCCAGTTAAACAAAAACGAAAATAAAGAATTAATATTTCCAAATTCATTTTCTATCTTGCGAAATTGGTATTTAGCCATAAGGGTACTTTGAAGAAATTATTTTAATTAATAATTATTGACCCTTAAATCTAAAAGGAAACAAATGTAACCAGATTAGAAGCCCACTGGACAAATTGGAGGGGAGCCCCGATGTATGCATTAAAAACTCTTACATTGCTAATAACATGATTTATCATATATTAGTTGTACATAATATAATACTAAATAAAGTGTAGATAAAAACGTATATCAAATAAGATATTAATAAACAAAAAAAACAAAAAATAATACATATGTTATGCATTTTATTAAACGATACCTTACTATCTAGAATTTTCAAAGCTCTAACTATTAAAATAAATAAATAAACCCCTTTTTATTGACTTAAACTTAAATAAAAATGTCCCTTTCATTCAAATTAGAAAGAAGAAGTCAAAGTGATAGTCCCGCAAAGATCTGTATGATCTATAACCGATTTTGTAAAGTTTTTCCCAAATAAGTATCACTTGTCTAATAATTAATATTTGGGGCTCCCTCGACAATTTCTATTAAATTCATATGTCAAATCTCTTAATTAACATTGTTGACCTTTATATTTTTTAATAAATGATTTATAAAAATATGAAGATTGATTGTAACTCAAATAACAAATCATAAGATTATTAAAATGTTGACCTTTAGTTTCACTATAAATCCTAAGGATTATAATTATTATCCACATATGTGCATGTAATTTGTTTTTACTGTTTGTCAGTTATATAAGAATGAAATTTTGTTTTTGTATTGTTCTGTTTTTCATGATATACAATCCAAATATTCATGATTCAATCAGAGAATCAGAAGTTAACGAACTTAAATAGCATTTTAAAGCAAAACTTTTCGATGAAAGCCTTGTTAATCTCCTTATTGATAGTTAATCAGAAATGTGGTAACAATAAAGACAGAAAAATTATGTCACTAATAACTTAAAAGTCGAAGTGAATGATTACTATGAACCCATACTGCATGTATCGAAACAATAACGCCTGACATTTCTATTTTAATTTTCATAGTAATGGAGCTTTACAAATCTCTATATCCATATAAAGTTGAATGTAAGCAATCCTGTATGGCACCTCTCTATGGCCAGTATTTTTTATTTTTTTTTTCTCATTAAAAAAGTTATTGAATAAGATAAAGTAACAAATATGTTAAATATATTAGTGGCAGTTATGTCGTTTTTAATACCCATAACTGTAGCACATAAATATTAGAAATTAAAAGAGAAATAAATAGTTGTTGATAACCTATATGAGAGAATGTCAAGAGTTTCCTCTAATATTTAAAACGGAAAAGGGTCAAAAATACCTTTGAACTATTAGAAATGGATCAAATATACCCTCTGTTTGATTTTGGGGTAAAAAATACCCTTACCGTTAGTGTATTGACTCACTTTTACCCCTCAAAACTAACAGATGTCATGTCACCTAAAAAATCACATAAAACAATAATTTTTTTGCTGACTTGAAAATTCAAATGGACAAAAAGACCTAATGTGTAAATTATAGTGGAACAATCATGGATCCGCAAAAGAAATTATTGAATGCAAAGATGCAAATCCAACCGAAAGTAATCTACAACATCGATGTTGCCATTGCCGTTCTCCTAACCAAAGATAATGTAGACACCACTGATAAACTCGATGAAAGTTTATGAAAAAAACATTAAGCGCGGGAATTTTGACTCAATCGGTTGCCATCTCATCATTTTGGTCTTTTCTTACTTAATTTTTCTTTTGAAATTGGGAGTAATTATCCCCAGCCAACAATATTGAAACCTCTGTTGTTTTATTTTCCGTCATCAAAATTCTAAGTTTTTTTTTCTTTACCTGCTGCCACAATGAGAGTTATAAAATTGAAATTAAAAAGAATAATGATAGAATTATTGTGTATAAGGGAGAGAGTTAATTTATCTTCAAGGAATAATAGAATTTTTAAAAGTATAGAAGGAGAAGATAAGAAATAATTTCAGAAGAACAAAAAAAAGAAAAATTTCTTACACAGTCACAGATTCATTCTTTTCTTCAGAGAAAAGATAAAGAAGTGAAGGATAGATTTATTTTTATTTTTTATATTTTAAAAAAAAAAATTTTTTTAGAACATTGAAGACACTCCGAAAAATTGTTAAGTAAGAAATCCACTTCTAAGTAATAGCAGCAAGAAGTGATCATTGAATGCTGCATTTTGAGGACAAAAGAATAGACATAATGTTTTTTCCACTAGAAATTTACAGTACTTCTCTCACCCAAAAATTGAACTCAATGAACAAAGGAACAAACCAAGTTGAAGGTATATACTACCGATTAAGAAATGTCACCAAATCATGTAGCTTCAAGAGCTTACAGAAGAATTCGGGTAGGCACATGATTGCTACTCTCCCCACCAGATGTCTCATGTACATCACTAGTCGAGGAAGATGGGTCAAAGGAAAAAAATAATTTCTTTAGACTTTTTTGTCCATTTGAATTTCCAAGTCAGCAAACAAAATATTGTTTTATGTGATTTTTAAGGTGACATGGCATCTGTTAGTTTTGAGGGGTAAAAATGAGCCAATACACTAACGATAAGGGTATTTTTTATCCCAAAATCAAACCAAGGGTATATTTGATCTATTTCCAATAGCTCAGGGGTATTTTTGACCCTTTTCCGTATTTAAAATAGGGTAGATAATCACAAATTATTTCAAAAATATGGTAAAAGTTATTCACCAACTAATATTGATGTGTTCATTATTGACGGAGTAGTAGAAAAAATCATGATTTGATTAGTTCCTTTCTCAATATTTCATTCCTTTTTATGATTGTGTTTCAAACACCTTCTTTGTTTTAATTGTTTTTCTTCCTTTCTTTACTTTTTAACTTTTCAGGAATATCAAACAAGTTTTATTGAACATGCACGCATCAAAGAAAAATAGTGCTCACATTATTTCTTTCAATTTTTTATTCCTCTAATTTCGTTTTTTTGTAAATTTTATTATTTATTTATTTATTCGTGTTTTTCCTTATTTACCACCTTTAATTAATGTTTTTTATTTTTTATTTTTTATCTTTAATTATACTTTATATTCTTAG